TTTCTCGTTACGAGAGCAAACTAAGAGTTCCTCGGTAAAGAAAGTTCGCGCGGAAATTGATTCACAAAGACTACGAACTTGCGTGGTCAATAATCAGTACGAAGAACAATGTCGCCATTATAAGTTCCGGCGAAGTTGTTTAACGAAGACGAAATTTTAACGACGATAAAAATGGCCACGATCATCGCCCGACGTATATTCTCGTAGCTTCAAATGATATACTTCGGCTTCGATGGGGTGCGAGAACGGCACTCGGAGACAACGATCCGTATTTATCCGTGTGAACTTTCATTCATGATCCCTGATGACGCGTGCAGAGGGCAGGATTTGGCCCGGTCCAAATATAAGTGGCCCGTGGTATTACAAAAATATATTCCGTCCGGTGTGCCTCTTCCGTATACAGACTAGGCCACGTCCTTCGACTTCGAGGTTGGCCTCTCTCGGGTCAAGCCCGGCCGGTCTACTCACTGAAAGCGAGAAGGCGAGACGAGCCTCCTTTTCAGAATCTCGCGGGTATCGCCTACCTGAGCCACGCACACGTCTCGCTCCTCTCTCCTTAACCCCTAGCCGTAGCGGCGCGAGTTCAAAGCTCGAGAAAGAGAGAAAGAGTGCGGGAACTTCCGGTGGTACGATCGCCGCGTACATTCCGCGGCTACGCGAAGTTCGAGTTGAGCCCAGATACTTCGAGGATCTTAACGATGTTGGAATCAACGCCGGAAGTGTGCTTTCAGTTCTCGAATCGCGAAGCTTAAGCTCGTTCGAAATTCATAAAAAAAAAGAAACACGAAACATGGATTTCTACCTCGCGTTTTATCATCATTATGGTTATTAACTCATAATCACGAGAATCGAGTCGAGAGCAAGATCGCATGAACCGATACTGGAACGGGATTGAGCGTTATTATAAAAATTAAAGAGAAGGAGTAACGTGGCCACAATTGGCGAGGGAGGAATTTAAAAATTAAAAGCAAGCTAAGGTTCTCGTGAAAGTAAGATATACGTTATTGATCGGTGTTAACAACCGGAAGTAACACGATACGCTATTGACACGTTATAAATAAGAAGGGGGCAAGGTGGAGAACGCGCGTGTGGTTTCTGCATCGCAACCGGCGCGGCTATGTGCGATTACGCGTCGTCCGGGTACCGAGCGTTTTTTAAATTGCGCCGTAAATTAGACGACGTCGCGTGAGCATTCAGAATTATTTAATAAGCGTGCATACGCGTTTGTTTATGCCACGAGGAGCACCGCCGGTTTCCCCTCCATTCTCTTTACATCGCGGCTTCCTCTATCGATCCAGAAAAAATTCCGCGAACCGAAACCCGGAAACCTGTGCACGCACAAGATATATACAAAGACCGATGATCGCGCACCGCAAAAAACATGGTCCGCTTCAATTCCGCTTAATATTCTATGAATCATGGAACGTCGAGCGTTGCATTTATTCGTGTCAACCATCTGAACGAGTGACTCTACATGCATATGCTCCGGGTATCCGTCTCTGCCTGTGGTAGTATCATTGTCGTAATCACGGTGATCATCGGTGGCTATACGTAGTTTGACGATAGAGCCCCGACGATCGATCGATCGTCTTTTCAATTTACTGTCTTACGTCTACGAGCATGTAAGTATGTGCGTTCTTGCACGAGGCGTTTACAAAGTTTGTTCTGTCTTTGACTTATAATTATGATTTATCGTCCACGGTTACGCTACTGTCACTGTTACTGTATATAAAACGCAGCAAACAAGAAACGTGAAAAAGAAGAAACGACGGTTGCCCCCCAGGAAAATTCTAAAAATAAAATTAATAACACGTGCCCGGTTCGGGGTTAATTTCCATATTCATTGCTTCTTTTAATGATTCCAGTCGGGACGGAATATTGGAATGACGTCAATGTAATAATCTCAATGAGATATACGTAATACGTATACAATGTGTGTGTGTGTATATATATATATATATATATATATGTATATACAGTTTTTCGCAGCACCGGTATTAAACCGTCCGTGCGGGCGACCGACCGCCAGCCGGATTTCCAAAGAATCGGCCCCGCCGTTAAAATGCAACAGGTTTTCGAGACCGGCCGGATGGTTCTCTCTTCAATCCGGCGTTGCATTCCTCCGGAGATCAGAGCCCTCTCCCTTTTCGCGGCACGATCTCGCGCCTTTTACACTTTTACTCCCGAGTTCGTGGCCGACCAGCTTAATGAGGATAACAACGACGGCCGTCAAACGGCGACCGGAATAGAACTGCCCCAATTAACTTCGGCCACTCTTGCGCGACGTCCCACGAATTTACGCATTCCACGTTTCTCGCGTTTCGACGTTTTTCTGATGACGTGGCACGGAAAAGTTCGCGAACCAATTTCGTGGCAACGAAATATCAGTAGTTTATTTTACGATAAGCGTGCAATAATACTTGCCCGCGATAATTGCCAGCCGCTTTCCGTGGTCACGGCACTCTCGCTCATTCACGGCTGTAGTACAGTGCCAGCGGTGTGTGATCGTCGTTAACAGCTCGTAAAATCCCGGCTGAGTTACAATGACCGAGCGTTTCTACGGACTCCGTGTGACTGAAGATGAGATAAAATACATCTCCGCGCGTAATTTTACCGAGAAACCAAGTGGAGCAAAGAAAATTGCAATCGCATTCCAATGTGAAAAAGAGGATTATTGCGAGTTCATTTTATTTACGATCAATCACAATCGCACGCAGCTGTAATCAGTCATTAATTATGTCCCTTGACTACCTGACCATTAGCCTCTGTATCCGTTGAAAATCCTATCATTTCGTTATAACACACGATCAAAATAAATATCACTGGGAGGATTCATCGACTACGAAATCACGATGATTAACACGTGCGGCTCGTTTCGCGGAATTTCTATAGCGGAACCTCCATACGTGCAGATTCTATTTCGCTGACGAATCGTGGCGGGCCTAGACGAGTTCGAAACAGTTGTCGAAAAATTTGTCACGTCTCCCACGGTATCGCGGTAGGAGGAGAGATTAAATGGAAAACTAAAAGATGAGACCTACGCGCGGTCCCTTGGTTTTATTCATCGGACACGGCGTGAACGCGTGGCGAAGGTTCATCGAAATCGGCGTGGCGGATGTTCCCTAGTAAATCCGTTGAATAAATCCGGTCACGTGACCACTTATCAGTCGACAACATCGGCAGGGGTAGAGAAAAATCGAATCCACGACCGATCGATTCGCACAGCTGGTTTTCCACGGCATGGCACGGCGCACGTACGCACAGAGAGACAGAATAAACGAGTTACATTTACATGCACAGCTGGAGGAGACGGTGTGCGTGAGCGTACGTGTATGGGACACGTACTATGCGGGACGCGAGCGATGGGAACAACGCTCTCCCGAGCCTCTACTGTGATACTACTGAATGAACTTTGACACCGGCTCCGCTTGGATGACTAATACAAACATTAATGCAATCCGACATAGCTGATTCCTTTTTCGCGTTCAAATACTGAGTTTGTACCATTTAATATGCGCTTTACTGTTTTCCGTGTATGTGTACACGTATATAGAGTAAACTCCGTTTTATCAAACGTAGGTTTAATTCCATTCCGTACGTATATCGCGCAGTTTAATCCTACGAGTTTGTTTATTCTTCGCGTGACCCAATTGTGCCTTCGGATTTATGTAACATATTTTTTTCATTTCTACGCCCGAGATCAAATTTTACGAGTTGAACTAATTTCATGCATGTTTTAGGCTAACTTGATCAATGTTTTACCTACTGCACTTGTTACATATTCCCACTTGCATGGAGTTGCGCAATAATTTATTCGATTGTAGCAATAAAAGCTACAGTCTCCATGATTTATCACAAACGTAAAGAACGTACAAAACAACTGTTACTTATTTTTTCAGATAAAAAAAAACGTGAAATTGCAATGTTTCTATGGAAGGATTCTAATTCGGCATATCAGCAAACGTGGGAGGGAGCAAAGTTCAGTTACGTTCCAGTGGCCGGATCAGGTCGTGGAAAGGATCGCTGAATCAATCCCATTCCTAGACGGGATCGGAGCAGAGAGCGAGGAGAGAGAATCGAAGTCGTGCGTGGAACGCAACGAGCGTACGCGTAGCGTAGGTTCGAAAACGCACGTGTGTAAGTCCGTCAGCGAGCCCCTCCAGGAACGTCAACATCTCCCTACTTTGGCGGCCCTGACGAAACTCCCAACACTATTGGTCGGACCCTAACCCTTCCCCGCGTAGCCGTGGACGACTCATTCCATTCAGTCACCCGTACGAACTCGAACGCTGCCACGCTACGACCATGCCGCGTGTTCTCTTTTTCCTCTCTCGCTCTCGTTCTCTCTTATCTCTCTCATCCCTGGTTACATCCGTCCCTCTCTCGCTCCTGCGATGACTCGGTTCCAGACTCCGCGTCTTTCTCGTTCTAGCACGTTGCTCCACTCTCTCTGTCTCTCTCTGTCTCTCTCTCTCGCTCCGTCCGTTGCATTCGGATCACAACCGCGCACGGCACACAGCAGCGGTGGCAAACATGCGTCGCGGAAACGTTCGCACAGGTTTCTAACCTGACCTACGCGTGGCACGGCCAGGGGCGAGAGATCCCGGTGCAATGTCATCCGGTTAAGGAGCTCGCGTTTTCTTCAGCCGTTCGAGAGGGATCCAGGAGAGATCGAAACGCGATCGTGGGAACGAATATTCTCTCCGATTTCCGATTACCATTCAACGATCCCACGCTTCTCTACGTATAATCCCAGACAGAACTGTAGCAAAGCTAATTGTTTGACCAATCTGAAATGTTTTATCCGTTTCCAGATGCATGCGAGTGACTGACCTCAAGAGCATAAATGACGCAGCTGTTGTCGTCGTAACGTTACTGCAATTTCGATCGGAGGTGAGGAAACGTGTCGCGAAGCATAATTTCGAGAGACACGGGACCGTTGATATGATTTGGAAAGACGCTAGTACATGGTTCGACTACATGATGATACTATTACGTACGTTGTTCGTCAATCACCTGTCAGAGCTGTGCGACGCTTCCGTGAGAAGAATCGACGAGCAGGGGAGACACCCCGGTCCAGAATCGTTCGGTAGTTCGGTGTCACGCGGCACACAAATTTGATTCGAATTACTCCGGCGACTGTCGTTTCGACACACTTGGCACAACTTAGGAAACTTTCTACGAAAGCACGCGCGTAAAAAGATCCGACGAGGTTTGCCCGCGGTCCGAACGCGATCGCGGATCGAACGGCGACATTCGATTTGCGGCCGATCTCGCGCAAACAAAATCCGTGTACGTACGCGGACGTGCACGCACGGAGCAACAAACGCGTTTCAGAAACACGCCGTGAATGAGCGTCCCGTAGCGAGAAAACGAGTTACGAGGAATCAGAGATAACAACACGGTTTCCGTCGAGTCAGCGGCAAGATATGCTACAAAACATATAATGTTCAAGTTAAAATAGTCCACTATAGTCTCTTGAGGTCCCGAAGCTCGGTTGCCTTCGTCGCGTGCGCAGAGATGCGCGAGACCCGCTGTTTCTCCCTCCCTTATCCACTCCAACTCTTTCTCGTTATCTGTCTCACAACATACACACACGCGCGCGATCGCGCGCTCTCTCTCTCTCTCTCTTCTTTCCTTCTCTGCTCTCGTCTTTTTCGCTCGACGGGTCTCTCGCTCCCGTATCCTTTTGTCCGGGAAGAAGAAACACACAGGTCGAGAGAGCTCGTGCCCCCTAAGTCGCGGTTATAACACGAACGTAAAATCGGAGCGCAACGAGCGATCGTGCCGTTTTCACTCGTTTGCCGGCCCGTTCTCTTCCCTTCGATCGAGCAATCGCACCAAATAAATATTCGCAGTGAACTTTTGCGGAAAAACAATTTGACGAACGCGATAACAAAGGTCAGCGCTCGTTGCGCAATTATGCCTCCCCTCTCTCTTCCCTCGTCTCTTTCTCTTTTCGGTTCGGTTCGTTGAAATTTAAATAGGGTTCAATCGCGAATCGTTTACACGCTCCACGCTTCGCGGTTTACTTAAAACCGACGCGGTACCGAGACTGGCGTAAATTTTATTGCGCCACCGATGCGAACTCCGATGCAGAGAGTTCAATACACGAATGAACGATGCCAACAATGCTCCCTATTCATTCTCTCGTCTATGTTTCGTATTTCTTTTTTTCTTGTATGCGCGCGGTCGCGGTCGAATACGTGAGATCCGCTGACAGGAGAGAAGCTGCAACCACGTTTCTCCCTGTACACGCACACACGCACCAACCACTACCCTCTCTACTCGTCGCACATTCGACTTCCGTGTGTCGTATGTGACCGCGCACAACCGGCGAATTTAACATGCGTTATAGTTGTCGACACGCGTCGAGAGGAAGAGATCGAAGACGAATTTGCGAGTGAGTGAGCGAGAGAGAGAGAGAGAGAGAGAGAGAGAGAGAGAGAGACGAAAATAAAAAAGCAGAGAGGAAGCTAACTTCCGAGTGACGAAAAATAAAGAAACGCGTAAGAAAGTGAGAGCGAGTAGACGGGGTTGGCGCGCAGGGCTAGAAGTGCACCCACTGCTCTCTGTTGGAAGGGCGCGCGCGAGAAGTTCACGTGGGACAACACGTCGCGAAGGGCGGCCTCGTGCGCGCTCCGTCCTTCCGTAGGTATATGCGATCTTCCTTCGCCGGTGTGAAAAGTGAAATGACAACACGCACTTCGCGCGTCGTTGACTCCGGCAACGGAGTACTCGTACAGCCTAGATACGATACTGAGGGCTCGGTGCACTCGGCTCGCAGCGTCGCTTTCCTCAAGAGGGCGGGAGGCAGAACAGAAAGAGCGAGGGAGAGGAAAGAAAGCGCACGCGAGGAAGAACGCGAGGCGAGAGAGGAGTAGTGGTAGAAGAGGAGGCGGGAGGGGCCGGAATTCTCTCTGCTATAGATTAAAATTTTTTACGGGGAAGATATTGATTGTTGCTTTTTATTAATGTAACATTAAAGTGGCGCGCGAAAGTGGGGGGAAAATTCCCGCCGGCGAGCCGACGGTTCGCGAAGTGGGGAGAGTTTTCGCTGGGTGGTAGGGATCCTCGAGGCCGAAAGGTAGGGTGCACAGGAGTTATACACGCGATATAGGGTATAGGAAAGAACACAGTGCAAGGGGAATACACAGAGGCGCGGGAAGTATCGTGGTGGGGGCCGACTCGACCGCGAAGAGAGAGGAGAGAAAAGCAAGAAAAGTAAGAACGGCCGCGCGCACTCTGGAAAACGACGGCAGAAGGGAGGAAATAAAAAAGAAAGGGGAGAAGCAAGTTGGTTCCGCGAGGAGGCGGTGGTGAGACAAGGCGAGGGTGGGCGAACCTGGCCTGGGTTGGGGGGTTCGAAGCGCGGCGGAAATAGTGCCATAAATACGAACATTTTTCATAGCGTCTTGCAGCCCTGTTTTGACAATCATCCCCTCCAACGGGGACGGTTCCCCTCCGTCGCGCGAACCACCGCCCTTCCCTTCTCGGCCCGCGTACACGGCCTTCTTCTCCGCGAGGACTATCCCCACCCCCGCGAGCGCGACAGCCGCGCTTTTGGATCTTAAGTACGCGGATACACACGTACATATATATACGCTCGCGAACGGCGGACAACGGACACACGTAGATGCCACACGGCAGACGACGACGCTTCGTCTTTTGCGCCCCTTCGCGCCTCACCTACCAGCCACCCTTTCCCTTCTCGCTCACCCTCGCCCTCGCCAGCCCTCTCGTACACCCTCCCCTACCAGCCGCCTATTCTTCTACTCGCTTTGACATTTTTCGCGAGTTAAGGCCCGCTCGAACTTCGTGGAAATCCATCTTGCCCTGGCTCGAAGGAGCACCGCGTTGTCGCCTTCTCCCTCGCACTCTTCACCATGTTCCTCCCTCTCGCCTCGACTACCTCTCCGTCTCACCCCGGCTCGCCGCCGGGAACGGTGCTCTTCCTCCTACTGGTCTCCAACCGTTTCTCTCTGTCTTTTTCATTTTTCTTTTTTTCCTTCGATTCTTCTGCCTCTCCTTTTTTCAAGGGGGAGCGAACCGAGAGACGCGAGAGCGAACGGCGGATCGATTCTTCGTTTCGAGAGGACTGCAACGAGAGGGGAGGAGGGACAGGCGGGTGAAATTCCATGGGCCTCGGTAATTGCCGAATCAACCGACGCGACGCGACGCCGAGGCGATCGCGGCGATAAGACGCGTACATCTAATTTTCGGGTCATAAACAAGCGTTCGATCGACTAATTGCTCGGTCGTTAATCATCGCTAGTCAGGAGCGATGCACTGCGTGTACACGTCCGCGGGTACGTGTGTGCATGCGTGGCGACGATTAATCGTCGCGGGCTCGCGGAGAAACTCGCGGTTTCGCGTTACACGAACGAGGCGATCTGCATAGGCTGCCCTCGTGTAACTCTGCACTCCAGTCTGTAACGTTACACTTCGTACCTTACCACTACACCCACGACCCTGTCGATTCTTTTTTCCGGAATTAACGCGCGAAACGCGTATCTTTTTCATCGCGATTCAAGATTTCGTTTCGTTCTACAATAATCCTCGAATACAAAACCAACAATGTTTAATGCAACGACTAGCTAATATTTGTTTTAATATGAAACACCATTAAGAACCATTAAAAATACATCTATGATTCGTATCTTTTTGCCGGTTCGCGTGTAACTTCCGGGTGGAAGTACAGGAAAGAAGCTCCTCTCCTGTTTGGGATCGTGTTTCGTGGTGACGGCGCGACCCGGTCCTTCGTGCTCGAGCCAGAAGCCCTACAAGAGATGGACAAGGGAAACGAAACTAAGCAGTCCAAGTAACCATCGAGGTCGCCCGATCGATGTAAAAGGCCGTTTTGTTATCAATGCACGAGTTTCTGGAATCCAAACTAGGTGCATCGTCATGTCTTTTCAGGGTCTGTCGTCGAAGAACGAGTTACGTAAGGACTGTGCTCTGTCTAATTAACCACATAAACCGTTCACTTCCTCCACCTTATTCTATCTCTTCCTTCATTGGGAATTGATTCGTCTACAGCGACGCCCTTGATGCGTGTATTATCTCAATCATTAAGTAAAAAAAAATAGAAGAGGGCTCACGAGCGTAAAAGCTTTTGTAGAAAACAGTTGAGGTGCATGCATTTGCGAGTTAAACGTTCTTCTAAAGCTAGTAACGAGACGAAAAAACGTATGGGACCTGAGTTCCGTCTGGCTTCGCCGGACGCGTTCACCAAACGGCGCGGCAGTATCTTATCGCGCTACGGGAAGGAATTTTGATTAGGGAGACACGGCTCCTTACTTGCGACGAGTCTGCAACAAAACGCGGCTCGTTCCAGGGAGAGAAGGAAGCCCACCGTTCGAAGGCCATCGGTAATAAAATCGTAGAAGTAAAAAGTGTACGCGGGGCGGACGGGGGAGGTGGGAGTCCGGTCGGAGACAGGGCGGGGTGGGATTTATTAAAGCGAAAAAACGATATCAGGCGGCCTTCTGCTTTCTCGTTCATCACAGTCCTCGGCAGCGATATATTTTCTTCTTTCTTTTTTCGAATAACGAGCATCATCGTTATGGCCCCGCACCCCGCCCGCCGCCACCCTCTCCCACCCCAAGTCTTTTCCGCCTTTTCCAGCTCCCTCCTACCTTTTATTCGTTCGCAGCGAGTGAACCGAGTCCAGGTTTAATTCTCAAAGCGATAGCAATTTCCAGGCGCAGGAAAAAAGGAATAAAGTGAGAAGGGATAGTAGGGGGGGAGGGGCGGCGGTGCCTCGGCGGGGAGAAAGAGACCGAGAGAGCCACCCCTGTCATACTCGATCGATCCGAGCTAAGCAATTAATCTATTTAACCTTTCTACTCTGCCGCGCCAGGAATAAAGGAAAGGCGAAGGATTAAATTATTGCATACTTGAAATTCCGAAGGGATCGGCGGAGAGGATAGACGCGGCGCGTTCGCGGAATTGCGAAACGAGGGCTTTTAACGGGACAGAAACGAGAGACACACGGGTGTAATGATTATAAGGGGATATCTTTTCACGGAACACGAGAGCGCGCCAGTTTAGAAACTATAACTGCAGCTCGTAGAGGCTCGAATCTTACGGTGCCGTTGCGTCACCCGCTAAGAGATCTATCAATGTCGTTTTCATTACGAAATTTTATGCATAATGCCGCAACGACGATACGGCTCCGAATTAGGAAGAGAGAACAGCGTTCCGATCGGTCTTAAAAAATTTCGATCGAAAGACACGTACCAAGTGTCGCTTGGCCTGCGTCTACCATTTTTTAAACATCGACCCATGGTAATTATTGACATACCGTTTCATCGAATGAACCGCCTGTCCTATTCCTGTCCCCGCAGACTCTTCACGATCGATTAATTAACAGACACAGTAATGAACGCGCGTCAACGCCGCGTTTAACAGAGCAGATTATAAATCATTAATCGGCGGGACATCACCGCTCGATAAGGTAAAAGATATAACTTAAGCGGATCTCGATATTTTTAAATGATTAACCTTCGAATATCGCGGTAACGGTACTCGACGAGGACGAGTACGCAATTTAGTTTCGTTTACAGAGATCACCAGCACTGCCACCGGGCTGGCTGCGGAACGAGCACTCGATGACACTCGTTGCAGCGTCATTTCGTAAAGTCTTCTTCCACCACCACTTTATGACCCTTCACATGGTCGATTTGATTTTCAGCCCGGTTGAACGCGACTGTGCACCGACTTTCCCGAAACTTATTTACACTCGATGAAAATGTTTCACCGGGCCAAAACGTGCGCCCGAGTGCACCAGACTTCTGCTAAATTGATTCCTAAACGAGTATCCGCGCCGTTTAAATTTTTGTTCGCATTAGCACACGAGTCTCCGGGATAAATGGTATTTGTCGGCAGTCCCGTTATCGGGAACGACGGACTTATATACATATACGTATACATGCACGATCAGTTTTCAAATTCTCGTTTGCCGTACGCGATACGTCCAACTCCCACAAAGAAGCCATATTCGCGATCCGCTCGCTCCGATTCTTTTGCCAATCGTGACGCGGACTCGAAGTGATGCATCGCTCCATTTCGCCATATCGTATACCATATAAATTTTAATTCCGACGCGACGCGAGAAGATAATGGCGTCACGACGCGACGAGCCTTTCTCGTCGAGGAGCGAATCCGAACGAGTGCATTAGGGATCAAAGGGCGCGAGAAATTAGCTGCCCGAAAAATATGAAAACTCGTCAGAACCGTCTCACTATGATCGATGAGTCGAGGGATAAAGGAGGAGATAGAGAGACGTTAGATCGTTAAATAAATAAATTTCATAACGGATTGACGGTATCTGTCAACAAATATTGTTTTACGATGATACTCGAGATCGCGTTGTAATACAAGCGAAGTCGATGGTTATTGTTGCGTAAAAAACACTAGAATTGCAAATGGTACAAAGCGCACACATACGTGAGTGCAACAATGGGATGGAAGCGAATAAAGAAATCGTTTCGTTAGACTCGTGAAACGTTATTGACGTCTTTGTTACTCGAAAACGGCACGACGTTTTAGCACGAAAATCTGCTCGGGTATTATTGGATTCTGTTTCCGATCGAGGTGTACGTTTCGAAATGTAACAGTTTTCCCATTTTCCATTTGTCATTACGCGCGCGCTGTATTGATGACATTCCGCAATCGGTTCCCGCGGACTCGCAGAGAGAGTTTTCAAACCGAAAAACCCAGCGTCAATTTACTGAAGACGAAAGACGTAGTAAAATTCCGAAATTAATTTGTCAGAGAAAAATACTGTAGCGAAAGAAAAGGCTCGCGCAGCTTCTATTTACCGTTGAAAGTAGCGGGCGAAAAAT